CATGCAACCTCTTCTCTGCCTATCCACCCTTCATCTGTCTTCACAGCTGATGACCAAGCACCCTTCTAAGCGCCTGGGCTGTGGCCCCGAGGGTGAGCGGGACATCAGGGACCACGCCTTCTTCCGCCGAATTGACTGGGATCGGCTCCAGAACCGAGAGATCCAGCCTCCCTTCAAGCCCAAAGTGGTACGTTCAGTGTGGGATTCTGTAGTAATGCCATTCTAAGCGTGAGGCAGCCACTGACCACGTCGTCTGAATGTTGCCAGGAATACGCTTTCCGAGGATGCTGGCGTTAACTATAGGTACTCTGATAAATATTCTTTTCTCCATTTGAGTTGGCAACCCATTGTCTTGTAGACTATAAACATTGTCGTCAAAGTGGGTCAGTCGATGGCAACGGTAAGAATGAAACCTTTCGGCTTGGAGATGGTGGCACAAAGTGGAGGTTCATGAAAAGTTTAGCTGGATTACAGTTTGACACTAACTTTTGTCTGCATGTTCAGAGTCAGGGGGCCAGAAACTGCAGTTACCATTATTCTCATGAACCGTTTGCTATATTTTCGGAGCCCACTAGCTGGCGCTCTTGGGTTGCTTTGGGAGCACTTATGAACAGAGCACCATCTAGTGGGGTCAGAAAATACAGCAAATGGTTCATGAAGCTTTGTTTGGCCATCACTCGTAGTCAGTGCTACTCTCCATGAAAGGCATAGCCCATTGATCTCCCTGGAAACACAAAAACATCAGATTCTGCTCATTGTTTTAATCTTCTTGGTCAACACTCAGTGATGCAAAGTAAAACTGGATATATCATGGATGGTGTGGATTGATTTAGTCGGCCAGTGTGCTTCTGCCCTGATCCACGTCCAGACTGATCTGCTTCCTGTCTTCCCCGGGAAGCTGCTGCTGCCTCTGGTTGATGGTACCTCTCCTTTCCCTCTGCAGTGCGGCAGAGGAGCGGAGAACTTTGACAGGTTCTTCACTCGCACCCAGCCTGTCCTGACCCCACCAGACCAGGTGGTCATCTCTAACATCGACCAGAGCGAGTTTGCCGGCTTCTCCTACGTCAACCCGCAGTTCGTCCACCCATCTCTCCATAGCGTGGTATGAGGGCCGGTGTGTCTTCTGACGTCCTTCTGATCCAGCACACATCTAGACCAGAGGTGGTGAGAGAGAACTCTAGCTATTAATGTGCATTGTGGCCAAATCTGGTTTCGGAAAGGTCATCAAGTCAAGCTGGAAAAAGTACAGAATTAAAATGTACCTCCATTTTTCATCTTATTTGGACAAAACTGACACCTGAGATCTTTGCTTAGTGGCCAGTACTTGATTACATGGCTGCCGTTACGTCTGTCACGCCGCCTGTTTGAATAACACCACCAATTGCATCGCTGGTGACCCATCCGTCTACTTGGCATCGCTCACGCTGGTGGGATTCTCTCATTGTCTCCACGCCTGTCGTGTTTTTTTTTTTTTAGTTTTGAATCAGCAGAAGCTGCGACTTCAGTATTTATTTGTTTTAAAATTGCCCCTCCAGTGTTGCGTCTGCCCAAAGCTCTGATGGTTTGGTTATTCAGCATGTAGAGTAGTGACACCTACTGGTCTGCCTGGCATGGTGCACCTGTAGGACAGAAGCAAGCGTGTCCTTTGTACTCATTTAGGCTTAGGTTTCCAAAACCCCTTCCATTAGTGTGTGCAACAGCACACACACACACACACACACACACACACACACACACACACACACACACACACACACACACACACACAC